TCTGCTGTTTGTGCATTTTGGGTTATACTTGATAGTCTATTTATGCCATATATTAGGGCCCCTAAATTTGCCCCTAGTTTTTCCTTGAGGAACTTCATAGTTTTAGGCTTCACACTGAAGTCTTTGATCCATCTGGAGTTCGATTTTCTGTATGGTGTGAGGTACGGATCTTGTTTCATTTTTCTGGAAATGGATATCCACTTTTGCCAGCATCATTTGTTAAACAGACAATCTCTTCCCCACTTAATGGATCTTTTGTCAATGATCAGATGGCCATAGGTCGATGGATCTATTTCTGGGTTCTCAATTCTATTCCATTGGTCTGTGTGTTTGTCTTTGTACTAGTACCGGGCAGTTTTGACTACTGTGGCTTTATAGTAGGTTTTGAGATCCAGCAGTTTGAGACCTCCTACTTTGTTGTTCTTCTTCAATAGTGCTTTGCTTATCTGGGGTCTCTTTCCTTTCCATATAAAGTTAGTGATTGCTTTTTCCATATCCTTAAAGAATGTTGATGGAATCTGGATTGGGATGGCATTGAATGGATAGATTGCTTTGGGTAAATTGACATTTTCACAATGTTCAATCTTCCTATCCACGAGTATGGTATGTTCTTCCATTTATGCAGATCTCTTCTGGTTTCTTGAAGTAGTCTTTTATCGTTTTCTTTGTACAGGTTTTTTGTGTCCTTGGTAAGATTTATTCTCAGGTATTTTATTTTTTGGTAGCTATGGTAAATGGTCGGAAGGAAGATGGGGCAATCTACTTCCGCAGTGATACTACCTCGGAAACCCAAGGAGAGGTCGCTATGAGTCCGGTCTGACTCAACAGCACATAACAACAGCAGTAGCAATGATAAATGGTATTGATTTCCTTATTTTCAGCAATCTCTTTGCTGGTGTAGAGGAAGCCAACTGATTTTTGTATGTTGATCTTGTATCCTGCTACAATGCTAAATCTCTCAATTAGTTCCAGTAGATTTTTGACTGAGTCTCTTGTGTTTTCTAGGTATAGGATCATATCATCAGCAAATAGGG